GTCTTTATCATTGGTTTCTTCAGAAGAGTTTACTTCACTCTAGTATGCTTTGCACTATTGGGCATGTCCATGTGATGCTGTAGATATATTTTCCTATGATAATCCAAGTACTCTGTCTGCATATTCCCTTTGGTATCTGTATTCTATCAGATATAATCTGCTTTCTTGTACGTCTTTGAATAGAGCCAGGAGCTTGATTCCTGAAGAACTGAAGTTTTCACCCCACTCCCCTGGGATGTCAGCATTTTTTTTTCTTTTTGATGAGTTTGTGAAGTTTATTTTTCAATTTTTTTTATTTTGAAACTGAATCTTACGTTGTCATCCTTGGTGGAATGCTGTGGTAGAGTTTCATAGCTCCCATGGGCTCAAACTCTTGAGCTCAAGCAATCTTCTTTCCTCAGTTTTTTTTTTTTTAATAGAGCTGGGGTCTTGTGCTTGCTCAGGCTTGTCTGGAACTTGTGAGCTCAGGCAATCCACCCTCAGCCTTCCAGAATGCTAGGATTACAGGCATGAGCCACTGCGCCTGGCAAGTTTATCTTTATAAAGCTATTCTGTGGGGTGGCTGGGCTCACCTGGGAGGTAGTTCTGCTCCACATAGCATTGGGTGGATCACTCAGTCAGCTGTTTTCATCTGGGAGCTCATCTGGGGCTGGGACGTCTGGTGCTGTGACTGAGATGGGGACTGTCTGGCAGATTCATTGGATTTCTTAAATGGTGGCTCAAGGGGTCTAAGAGCAGCCAGACAGATTGTCAGGTCTTAACCACACCATTCTCATCTTTTTTTTTTTTTTTCAGACAGAATCTTATTTTGTCACCCTCGATAGAGTGCTGTGGTGTCACAGCTCACAGCAACCTCAAAGTCTCGGTCTTAAGAGATTCTCTTGCCTCAGCCTCCCAAGTAGCTGGGACTACAGGTGCCCACCACAATGCCTGGCTGTTTTTTTAGAGATGGGGTTTTTGCTCTTGCTCAGGCTGGTCTTGAACCCCTGAGTTCAGGGAATCTACCCACCTCAGCCTCCCAAGTGCTGGGATTCCAGGTGTAAGCCACTACACCTGGCCACCATTCTCATTCTTGAAGCCATTTTTCATGGAGGGATCAATGGTGTCATTGAAGTTGGTAAGGATAAACACTGGGAAAGGCTACTGATTAGATGCTTGAGAGGTCACTGGTAAGAAGCAATTACAAAAAAGTCACATAGCCTGGGCAATAGCAAGACCCTGTCTATACAAAAAATAAAAAAGTTAGCTGCCCGTGGTGGCACATGCCTGTAGTCCCAGTTACTCATGCGACTGAGGCAGAAGGATCGTTTGAACCTAGGTGTTGGAGGCTGTAGTGAGCTGTGATGACACCACTGTACTCTAGCCTGGGCCGCAGAGCGAGACCCTGTCTCAAAAAAAAAAAAAAATAAAAGTGATGGTGTCTTGGGCTAGAGGGCAAGGGGCTGAGTCATTTCAAGCATTTATGTGTCATTCTTAGGTGAATTCCTCACTGGTGATATTGAGATGTTCTTTCATAAAAGTTTTATTGACAAGAAACATTGGGAGCTAGTGCATGGCATAACCCTCTGTGGGTGTTTTATGATGCATATTAGCTTACCAAGACTGAAAATAGGGTCATAAAAAAACCTGCTTCACTTTTAAAAATAAGCTTTGTGAAACATATTTGGCCAGGGTCCTATATATATATGTATTTTTATATATATATATGTATATATATATATATACACATACGAACAAATTGAACACACTAGGAACTTCTATAAAGCTAGTATCAGGTGGTGCCTGTGGCTCAAAGGTGTAGGGCACTGGCCCCATATGCCAGAGGTGGTGGGTTCAAACCTAGCCCCAGCCAAAAACAGAAAAAAAAAAAAAAACAAAGCTGGTATCAAAGTCTATATTTAATAACATGAAAAGGGAGACTAGTATATTGTCTAAGGAGTGAGTCATTACGTTCTCTTTTGCTTTGAAGAATCTAATAGTGTTATGTTTCTTAAAAACAAATTTAAGATGATATTTTGGATCTGACTTTTCCAGCTTTTAAGGATTAGCTGTCTTGCTTTTAAACAGGAGTATAATTGCTTGCTGTCATTGCTAATATTTTACAGAATGTGAACTTGTAACAATACATTTAACTTCATTAAAAATTTCTGAATC